CTTCTCGTCAATTTATCTACCGGTATAAATTGAGCGACGACTTTTGCATAGCCTTTGTCCCTTGGAAACGTTTACCAAAGGTTATCTTGGACCGTTTGCCATAGACTAATATCAGGCATTTCATCTTGGTTGCATGACTGTTTTCGTTTTCATGTTTCTACTATTGTGATTACCGCATAATTTACGAAAAGAGCATGGTTTTTAACGAGGCGAGAACTGATAGTTGTCGAAACCTATTGCTACTAATTGTTTATTATTTTAAATATGTAACAGTCTTGCACTCTTTTCCTGCCAAACCTCAATCAAAACCCACATTATATTCAGCCAGAGCTTGGCGGTGTTTAATAAAAATAAAATAAAATAAAATATACATCATAAGCAATAACTGCATCAGCAATTTCTCTTCTTAAGTCTAATGGTTGCATTTTAAGTTGCTTACACCTATCAAAGTATGGAGTTAGTCTAAATGAAGTAGCATTTCTTCTATTTTCTAGCAAATAAATAACAAATTGCTTCTGTATCGATTCGATATCTCCAATATAAATATCCTGATATGGGCTCCATATAACTGAAGCAAATTCTAAAATAGGCCTAACATGAGCCAAATACAATATTTTTTGTGTGTCAATATGTAAAGTTTCCGTTTGAAAAATGCTTGATACAGCCAATCATGCGTCTCGCTTGTATGGTTTTCTGTTCGATGTGATGGCCGAAGTGTAGCTGCTTATCGATCAGAACGCCGAGATCGCGAATCTCTTCCTTCCTCTCAATTAAGTAATCTCCCATAGTGTAGTTAACGACGATAGATGATTTTTTTCCGACATAACGTAAGCATTGCACATTTTTGATTGTTGATTTTGAAGGTGATTCGAGTTGTTATTTGCGGTTGTGCCACGAATTTCCATTGCAATCTTGATATCGTCTGCTAATAGCAGCACCGTAGATTTTTCAACACTAACAACTATGTCGTTTATGAACATGGTGAACAAAATTGGGCCAAGCACACTTCCAGCAGGCACACCAGAAGGCGACGAGTATGATCTGGATTTGGATTGGCCAATCTTAACAAAATTGAATCGATCGATGACAAAGTCACATAGCCATTTGGCAGTTTTACGTCCAATTTTGAAGTGAGCAATTTTTTCGATGAGTTTTCGATGCCAGACTCGGTCGAACGCAGTTTTGAAATCTCCGTAAAAAACATCAAGCTGCATTTTCTTGCGAAATGACTCGTGTGCCAATATCGACAGGTTCAGTAGATTCGTAGTGACAGAACGCTTAGTTCTGAATCCATGTTGTGAATTAGATAATTGTGGGTCGATGATGGCGCTTAGCTGGTGTTTAATTGCTATTTCGAAGATTTTCAATATGACTGAACTGATTGCTATGACACGATAGTTTGTAACATCAACTTTGTCGCCTTTTTTGAAGACAGGCACAACTCGTGACAGTTTGAGCAAGTACGGTATAGTACCAGCATCAAATGTTTTCTGGAACAAAAGCCAAATCGGCCATACAATGGCGTCAACACATTGTTTTATGACGAACGGTGATATATCATCAGGTCCAGCTCCACTATGCCATTTTAACGAGTTAATGGCTAGTTCGATGCTTTCCAATGACACGTTGATTTCATTTGCATCATCACTCTCACGAAAAATGTCGTCGAAATTCCACGATTGATCATCAGCTACGTAAATTGACTCGAAGTAGTTTGCGAACAACTGGACAATGTCGTCTGGTGAATCAGCGGTGACATTATTGTGGTGCATCTGATTTGGATAAGTTGCTTGTTTGTTGCCAATTTTCGCAAACTTCCAAAACGCTGCTGGATTCGATTTGATGTTGTTTTGAATGCCCATGATGTACTCATTGTGTAGCCTATCGTTCAACACGTTGAATTCGTGACACGCTTTGACATATTCATCTGTTTGGACTCCAGATGGCTTTCGTTTAAATGACTTATCACGTTGATTTTTCTTGTGTTGAAGCTCACGACTCCACCATTTCGACTTGTTCGGGTAATTGGTGACTGATACCTTTGGTACATTGTTCTCAGTGAGTGTTGAAATAGTTCGATGAAAGAAATCAAACGCAGAATGAACATCGCGTATGCCAAACTCATGTTGAAAATTAATACTCTCGATTTGTTGACAAAGTCGTTGATAATTTCCACGTGAGTATTTGAAAACCAATTTAGGTTCTGAGCGAAGCGTTGAACTTATTTTCGAATATTCGAATTCGATTTCATATGGCTTATGAAATACGTCTTGTTGGTTCGCATCGACAAGTGTGTGCTAGTCAACGCTCAATTTGACATCACTCGAATTATTTACAAATAGCAAATCCAAGACATTCGATGCTACATTTTCAATACTTGATATTTGGTAAAGTGGGAGTTCCAACATTTTGTTCAAAAATGTGTTTGCATTTTTTAATGCTTCGCAATACCCGTGACTGACCGTGGACCATCACTCATTTTCAGTAGATTCAGATGAAAACGAAGCAATTCAGGAGCATTCGGAAGTGCTTCGCCGGATTCAGAAGAAATTCAGATGAAAACGAAGCAATTCAGGAGCATTCAGAAGTGCTTCGCTGGATTCAGAAGAAATTCAGATGAAAACGAAGCAATTCAGGAGCATTCAGAAGTGCTTCGCGGATTCAGAAGAAATTCAGATGAAAACGAAGCAATTCAGAAGCATTCAGATGTGCTTCGAAACCTTCTGAATTTCTTTTGAATCTAGCGAAGCACTTCTGAATGCTCCTGAATTGCTTCGAAATCTTCTGAATCTACTGAAAATGAGTAAGGTCTTCGGTCGGTGATGATTTCCGCGATGCTGATAACAGGTAGAGGTTTGGTGTCTTCGGCAAAGTTGTAGTACTTTAGACCTTCTATCATTTTGCTGAAGACTGTTATCAGTTATCTCTTATCAGTGTCGCGGAAAACGCGAAAAATGATAAGAAAAAAAACCTTGCTATACGCGTGTGTTTTTGATTTGCGCCCAACTGATAAGAGATAACAGATAACAGTCTTCAGTCAGAAAAAAGAAGCAAAACTGTCCGATTCATCAATGCTTTTTAGTAGCAATTCAGTAGCAAAAATTTACACCCGGTTTAATAACAACCACTGGGATTACTGCGTTTGCATTGACTGACATTGAATCGACGAGTGGTGTGTTCAGCTTTGTTCGACGTTCGACGCAAATAATGAAAAGCACACGGAATCCAAAGGTGTTGAACGGGTATGTGCATTTATATCCAAGGCAATGCGTGAGTTATAACGAAAGAGAAAGGAAGAGAGATTTATAGAGACCGAGAGAAAGAAAGGAAAAGAAAAGCGAACTAAAAACGTTACCTTTCTGATGAGATGCACTAGCCGTCTGAAAAGAAAAAACAGAAAAATAAGTATATATTCCTCTATAGTAAAAATAAGTATATAGAAGAAAAATAAATATTTAAAAATGACAAAAGATGAAAAAAAACCATGCAAACCTTGTTGTGATCTAAAAAAATAAAATAAAAATAATAAACTGATTAAAAAGGAATATTAAAAAGAATTACCCGGGCTTTTCGTGCAAATAGTCCAATACTTCGTCCAATTTCCCACACATTTGGTTCATCAAACCAATCATTTGGTTCATCGAACCAATCATTTGGTTCATCGAACCACACATTTGGTCTATCTTTGCCGTTGAATCCGAGATTTTGGCATTCAGTGAGTTGTCTGGGAGCGGGTAGCTTCCATTCTAAGGACGAGAAACGTGAGAAGATACTGGTATCCGAATGGAATACAGAAACCCAAAAACGCAGAAAAAAATTTTGCAGAAAAAAAAATTGCAGAAAGAAAAAATGCAGAAAAAAAAATTGCAGAAACCCAAAAACGCAGAAAGAAAAAATGCAGAAAAAAAATAGCAGAAAAGAAAAAAATGCAGAAAACCAAAAACGCAGAAAAATTGAAAAAATACGATTTTTTCGAAAATTGGTTGACCACAATAGATTTCACAGTCCGACGCGTGTTTTCTTAATCTGGCACATCAGCCGAATAAGTGCCAGGCGATAGTTTAGGCCGCCCTGAGTTCATAATGGGCCATGGTTTGTGTATGTGTTTGTTCTTCTAAATGGTCTTACCGACCGGCCTTTTCTTCATCACCAGATGGTTCGACAGCAGCAGCCGCGTAGGCGGTTGTGGTTTTTTCAGTTCCCTGCGAATGGAGAAAAATGCACATTTTTGGTTTGGTTTTATTCACAAACGATTTCATTTAAGAAAAAGCAAAAACAAACAAGAAAGTTCTCGCGTAGAGTCTTTTAGAACCTACGAAAGGACTCATTTTGGGTCTAGTTTGTTATTGCATAACAAACTATAGCTGAGCCGTTACATGAAATGTACTACATCACAATGTATGGATGGATTAGATGCACACAGAGTACAATAAAGTTCAGGTCACCAAAAATCAAAAAATCAGCTCAACTTCTGTATTAAATTCAATGCTACCATAATAACCAATACTCTACATCGTACATCATAATGTATGGAAATGAAAATTTTCAAGTCGTATTGGTAATAACGTTTTAATCTAAATTTGTAGTTAGTCACAGATAACAATTAAACAAAAAAACAGAATCTGTTTTGGAATTAAAAATTCCGAAGTTTCGGACCCCCATGGAGAAAAAAATAAATAAACGAATCTAGTACCTTTTACATTTAATGTACATTGTACAATGTACGTTTCATGTAACGGTAAAAATTATCGTCTTAATTGCTTTTGTTAGCCAAGGAAAGCAGATTCTGACGAAGGTAAAAAAGCAATAAAACTTAATAAGAATTATATTTTCCCATTTCATCGACATGATTTGTGGGCACAACATTTTGCAATGCAAAACCAAGGTCGCTTTCTTCGTACACAAATACATGGTAAAGATTTGACGTAGGACGCCAAGATGCCTCTACCCGTGGAATGCTCGAAGCTGTCATCGTACACATATTGAATACGAACATTGTGGTTTACACAATCACACTCACACAAATGAACGCATCAATAGTGCCCGCTTGATATATGTACGATGAGTGTTTTGAGTGTCCCTCGCCTAGAGGGCTGCGTGTTGTTTTTCTCCGTTTATTAAGCGATCTTGGCAAAACAGAAGAGAAGAGAAGAGAAGAGAATACCGAACTGTTAGCACGTAAATGAATTGAAGGAAGCCATTATGTATTACGTTCACACCCAAAACGCGTTGTGTGCATTGGCGCTGGTTTGCTCAGGCAGATAGCGAGAACCAGATCCGAGAGAGAATTTGATGCCGGGTTTTATGTACATACGTGCATTAATGTGCAATCATATGCGTTTGGAAAATGTTATGTAAACTATGTAATGTTGGAACTAGGCTGCAGTCGGTCTGTAAAGGGAGGCTCTGATGTTTGCTATGGTTCTACACGCTGTGGTGTGTTTACACTCAAAAAATTGATTGCGAAGCGAACGAGCGAGTGAGCGAAACGTGCAAATAAACACGCTCACGACTGAGAAGCGAATTTATTATATAATTTCGTTTAATAAAAATTAATCGTTCTCCGTTTCCGTTCACTCACCTTTTCGGGGACCTTTTCGCATTCACCAGTTGTTGTGGCAGTGGCGGCTTCATCCTTCTTCGGCTTTGTTTTGTCTTTCTTGCTGAAAAAGAATGAGCGGAATTGCAAGAAGCGTTTTTTCGACTTTTCCTTCTTCGTCTTTTTGGCGCTGTCAGTCACTGGTGTTGACGTAGTTCCTTCTCCATTTTCAGCTGGTTTCTCTTCATCCTTTGTTTCTACTGCTGCTACAGCAGCAGTGGCATCGTCAGCCTTCGGTTCTGCTTCAGCGGCTGGCTGTTCGGTCTTTTCGGTAGCCGCATCCTTTTCATTTTCAGCACCTTCATCTTTCTTTTCTTCCTGTTTTTCAGCAGTCTGTCAGAGCAAACAAAAAGAAATAAATCACAAAAAATTCAATTAATTGACCACACAACCAGAACAACAAAGAGGAAAAAGAATCCGTTACGGTGTGACCAACCAACGGGTTTCATGTTTTATGGAAAACGAGGAAGAAAAGAATCGTGGTAAATGTTATCAATAAACAATCACTTACACCTGAGTTGGCCGTCTCCTCGATTGAAGGATTGTTAAACGTTTTTAACATTTTTATTTTGTTTTTCGATTTCCGTAAAAGAGGGAAAACATATTCCAAGAATGAATAAAATACGACACAAAAAATATTAATATTGAGGTGGAAAAAATGAGCGATAAAGTAAATAGCAAATGAAATCAAATTGTGATTCAAATACAAATAAAATATGTTCAACTATTCGTGAAAACGAGAGAGAGAGTTGATTCTTTTGGTTTGGGTTTGGTGTGCATTTTAATGAGGCACCGGTAAAGACGCTACAGCGCTGCCAATGGCATAACAACAAAATTGTTGCTTGTTGAGGGGAAACTAAACTGATTGCGTTGGTAGGGTTGCCAAAAACATGAAATTCGCTCTGAATGACAGCGCGTTGCAACAATTTCAAAATAGTACTCGGTTATTTTCGAGATTTTTCGATTAAAATGCTATGTTTTTCATTTAAAACCCATTTTTTCTGTTCAAAAAAATTCAAATGTTTATTTTTCGTTTTGATTTTCCTATTTTAGACACAAAAAATGACCAATTTCATGAAAATTCATGAAATCAACCGATTTTAACGTATTTTTTCGTTACGTTGTCAGTTTTCGATGCATGTTTCACTTGGTATGTGGAATTCGTAGAAGTGAAAAAGTGTTTCACCGAACAAAGTGCAAAAACCAAAAGGAAGTGTGGTCTATAGTGGAGTATTTGAAAAAAACCCGAGCTAGTGGTGACAGTTCAAGAATGGTTTGGTATCGAATACGCTGATTCAAAGGCAAAAAAGCACATGGACAAAGAAGGCACACTGTATGACCACAACATATCACCAAATTTGGAGCGAAATCAATATTCCAAATCACACCACACGATATACCGCTGTACACCTTTTACATTAGCGCAGTTGTGTGTAACGCGCACTCCGACGGCTACTTTCACATGAGTTCGGTGGAAATCGAACAATTCCGAGATCTCGTTGTTCGGGCTCATGATAAATACGGTAAATTTTTTCATTATTTTTTACTCGTTTGTTATTAGGAAAAAAACAACACAAGTTTTTTCCAGATAATTTTTTCTAGGAGCAGAATAGCTCTGTCAGACTTGAACACTTTTCAAACTATTGAAAAAAACATGTTTCTAATTTATCTCCATATCTCCTGCAGTTGCCAATCAACAAATCGAAGACGATTACGCCGATGCTCCCAACGAATTCCGTGATCCTCTTATGGACACGTTGATGACTGATCCGGTGATTTTACCATCGGGCAATGTTATGGATCGTTCCATTATCACGCGTCACTTGTTGAACAGCAGCACCGATCCATTCAATCGGCAGCCACTAACTGAAGAGAACCTCCGACCAGATAATGAACTCCGTGAACGTATATTGGCCTGGAAGCGTGACAAACGCGAAAAAACAATCCAACTCAATCCAAACGATAAATGTTAAAAAAAAAACTCAACAAACAAGCATCAACCAATTGAAGATTGATTTAAAACATTGGTATTAGAATTAAGAAATCGTATTTGAAAAACAAGAAAATCGCTACAGAGAGAGAGAGAGGGGGGGAGAGGATTCTTCTAAATCGATTGTTATACTTAAGTTATTATCACATACAGAAACAAACAAACAATAGATTTACTGAATCACCCGAACTCACGTGTTAAGTTAAGCGATAAAAATACTATGAATCTGGTTAAAAACCGAACCCCTTCAAAATTACTAATTGTGTATTCGAAAACCGAGTTTAAAACGTGAACATTGCAATCATTACAAGAAGAAAAAAACAAACATTATATTTCTATTACGATCTATCCAAGAACCGCGCATATTTTTTCATTTGCTTCGAATTTTTGTTCGGTTCCAAAAAAGAAAAAACGCAGTTTTTTGGTCCTTCAAAGAAAAAATTCGATTTATTTTTCACACAACTTTTTTGAGTATTTTTCTTTCCTTTATTTATGTTGTAAAACAAAACAAAAGATGGAACACACAGAAGAAAAAAAATTAAAACGACTATAAACGTAAATAAGATCTTGGCTTTTATTTATGGCGTTCTTTTTTCATTGATAGGAAAAAAGGTTAATTTATTTGGCAGACCACATATGGTTACGGTGTTGCAACACAGATTTTTGCTTAAATTCGGGCACAAATTCACAATGGCTCAATGTCAATTGAATCGAATCGAAAAAAAACGTGTTTTTAATTTGCCTGGCGCCTCATTTGTCAAGAATAAACAGCGTTTTTTTCTCTTCAAATATACGGTAGGTAAACAAGACACGGATTAATCGCAAGCAGCCCATTTGATTTATTGTCGATATTCAAGATTCCATAAAATCCGTTATTTACTAACCATGACATGTGTGGTACGAGTAAACACTCGAGTGGCAAAAAGTAGATTAACGGTGGTTTTAGTCTCGGCTTTGATGTGGGACCTCAATTGGGAATGACTCATATGTGGCATATGGAAAACACAATTTATTTGAACTAAAATTCAATATTGAGACAGTTCGTATGCCAAGAGATGAGGTTAGCTGCAATTGTTTCGGTGCCAATGCCGTTTGCAAAAATATGGAAATCCAAAGTGCGTTCCAATATTTTTTGGCAGCTATATAAATCGATTGGTATCATCATTTATTCCAACAAAAAGCATCGTACTATTCACTCCATCTATATCATTGAATCGCACTTCCTACGGGTAAGACTCATTTTCTATGTACTTAGTGCAATTTATGCTGACTTATCTTATCACAATAGTAACAATTGCTTAATCGATCGGCATTTTTTTTTTTGAAATAATAATCTATTTTAATTTTGGTTCGTTCCAGAACTTGCAAATCGTTATCAGTTTGACTCATTTGCGCCGCTAAATTGAACGTAGACAAAAAATCGTCTATCGATAGAAAGAAAAAGTTAACGCTCGCACCATTCAAATTGTGTTCTTGTCTGCTGCGCAAAAAGTGTTCAATAAAACGCAGAATTGCGTGATTTTATCAATCAGTTCTAACAAGGCTATTGAAGTGAATAGATTAAAATAGTCCAATATACAAAACACGCGGAATTTATTTTGAACAAGTCAGTAAAAGAAAAAAATGAATCAAATCAGTTTGGCAAAATTATTCTTGGTCATTTCGATTGCTGCTCTGGTAATATCGACGATTGATGCCCAATGGTATCAATCTAAGTATCAATCTGGAAAATTCCGACGATTTGCGAAACATGATTCAACAAAGGATGGTAAAGAGCCACAATGCCCATGTCCTCGTATGCGGTGGCAGGTTTGCGCTTCAGATTAACATTTTTTATATGTTATCCAAAAGTTTTATACAAAAAACATGTCAGTTCTAGCCAGACACATTTGTTTTCACTATTATTTTTTCGTTTGGCAAAAATTGACATGTTTTTTTTACATGAAACTTGTTTTTGGCGATTTTTTGGTTGTTATTAAGATAATACGTCGATATCTTAATGATATAACGAGACGTTATGTTATGTTATGACATAAGTACCAGACCAAATATATCGCCATTATTATTATGTTATTGGGTATAGCTAATAATGTTTTATTGCCTCTAAATCTGTAGATTTGCGGTAGTGATGGAAAAACTTATGATAATGAGTGCTTATTCGAGTGTGCCGCATCAAAATCCAAAATTCCTATGGAAATTGTGAAGAAGAGTGCATGTGACGAAGCGGAAGAAATGGAATTCGAACCGTTTCTATCTTAGTTGGCTGATGTCATTGGGTCAATGGTTTTCATCATTTAATACACCCTAAATTTTTCAATTTATTCTGATCTTTTTTCGATATTTATAAAGAATAACACTTTTGCTAGTTTGTCATTATAGTTTTAAGAACATGAAATATTCGCTAACTTAAATGAAGGTATAAATAAAGAAAAAGAATTAAGATCAATCCACCAATTTCACTTGATTTTATGATTTTGTTGTTAAAGAGATAAGTAAAACAGACACAAATTCGAATCAAATGACGTGTGTGTCATTGAACGTGGAAATATATCAAAACTACGGCGCAATAACATCCGTAATACGGATTCCGTATGATGAGTAATTCGGATCGAAAGACATTTATCAAAATTGAAATGACCAAAAAAATGTGTCACACATTGCTTTCTGTTTCACCTACTTCCCCCTTTGGCTCTTTCATTTCATGACTGGAATGCATTTACAGCGATAATTAATAATAACTGTGTCAATTTTGACTGATGAGCATTTTATGAGTTCAACGGCAAGGTTTTTCCATTTGCAAGTGTACATGGTTGAAATACATGGGTGTTGAATGTCATTCAACGCCACTAAGCTGTAGACATCTCTCTCCGGCTATACGGTAAACAACAGAACCAACACTGAACATGAAAATGACATGTTCAATTGTGTTTGTTTCGTTAGTTTCAACTGTGCCGCTACGAGAGGTCACTTTTGTCGTTTCTTGTTGTTATTTTACATATAAAATCAATGGTATTAGACGAGGATGTTGAAATAAAACTTTACAGCTCTTTGTTTCAAACTGACTGAGTATAGAATTTAAGGCTATTTTTACGAAATATGTAACAATAATATAAGTGAAAAAAACAATTTTCATGTTCATTTCGAACAATTTCTAACATTTTGTTTTTTTTTTTTTAATTCAAAGCTTCAAAGTTTAGTTTCGTTATTGGTCGTTATAATCATCGTAAAGTATAATTCCCGGAGAAAATAATTGTTGACCACTCAGAGTAATAAAACGATGGCATGGTGTAATTTCATAAAAAAAACTGCACGTGTTCTTATCAAAACTTACGCATTATTACTTATCACTTGACCATGTGGTTTTATAGCCACGTAGACTTCCTTTGCGAAAGTGATTCAACGGTGAAAAGAATGATGAAATTTTTTCTTGCTGCAATTGCAATGAGTAAGAATTATTTCATCATCAGAGAATTGGTTGAAAAATCTCAGAAATTGCATTTGTTTGCAATATTACTCATTTGTTATTTATTTGCTGCAACAGTATATCGATTAGTAGTCCAAATCAAACATATCCGTTTTCCAATAAGATTAACGATTGGCTTTTTCTACGACATATTGAAGATAAGGGAATAAAATCAATCATTTTTTCCTCTTTTATTCTTTTCTAGTTACCAATCTTATTTACGCAAAGACCGTTATGGTTTACGTCAATGTTTGATTTTTGATCAATTTGTTTATGTTTACTCAAACTGACGCGCAACCGTTCAATCGGAGAATTATAACCTTGTTTACCTGTCACCAATTAAGAAGTTGCATATTTTGAATGCATGAAAATATTTTCTGCAACCTTTCGGCCGCAAAATATATGCGAACGTGATCAGTATCAAGTATGCTCTAGAATATTTTCAATTTAGTTTTGGACTTGATAAATCGATCATCAATAAATTGGTTTGCTCCGTTGTTTCGGCTTTGATTGAAACAATTTTTAAGGCGAGATAATAAAATGCGAATAATACACACCTTTACTACGTACAGCTCATCAAAACAACTCGATAGCTGATAAGGATTTTCATTGGCTTCGACACATGATCGGACGTTTTGTTTAAATAGACGCTCACAATGTGAGTTTGCATTAGTTCAAGCGAACAAGTCGAAAAGAAGAGTTCAATATGGGAAATTATATCGAGTGAATTAACTCAGTGGAAATCAGTCAAATTCAATCAGAAAGTTTAAAACCTACAAAAATGTGTTTGAGTAAAACATTGTTTGTCATTGCTGCGTTGGCGATACAATTTGCCAATTCTGCAACAATCAACGCGAATGTCTGCATTTGCACGCGTGAATATCTGCCGGTTTGTGGATTCAATGATCAAACTTACTCCAACAACTGCGAGTTTCAATGTGCAAAATCGAAAGACGCACGTTTGGAAATCAGATTCCACGGTGAATGTGATGAAGCTGATAGCATCCCACCGATTGAAGAGGCTGACTGCATTTGTACCCTAGAATACGCACCAGTTTGCGGCAACGATGACCTCACCTACTCAAACGAATGTGAATTTGATTGCAAGAAGAAAATCAACGAGCGATTAGAAGTCAGACACTCCGGAGAATGCAGAGATTCGAAAGAAATTTCATCAATTTTAAGTGATGAGTGGTTTCCATGTGCTTGCCCGCTTATATACATGCCTGTTTGTGGAAATGACGACCAATCTTACTCAAACGAATGCGATTTAAACTGTGCCAAAAAACGAAATGCAAACCTTAAAGTCAAATTTCAAGGACGATGTGATGATATAGAGACTTTGCCGATGAACGAAGTTCAAAACTTACCAATCGATGAACAACTATGCATCTGCCCACTGTTATTGCGCCCAGTTTGCGGTAGTGACGATCAAACGTATGATAATAAGTGCCTTTTAGACTGCACGAAAAGAACTAAATCTGATCTTACTTTAAAGCATAATGGCAACTGTTATTAGTTTGAAAATGAAAATGAAACTTATCATAACCGTTTTAGCAGGACATAGATCATAAGTTTATTTATTAATTTCATTTTAACCACTGGATGGATTTTCTTTATTTGAAATATAGTCATATATATTATGCAAATACATTGAATTTTACTTGAATTGCCATAAGTTTTATATATATACCGAACAACAGTTAAATCGGCAAATTAAATAGTCACTTCAATTTCATTTATTCTCTACATGAAAATAATTGAAAAAGAGTTTTTTTGCTTCATTTTTTTCTTCGTTTTATCTAGAAATGTTCTATTGATATATCAATAGAAAAATATATATTTCTCATGAATCGAATTCATTTCGATAATGTTATCGAATCTCATGGATAGTCACATATTGTGTTCTTTTGTTTGAATTTGATGTATTTTCAATGACAAATTACATCAACAAGAAAAATAACGCCCAAAATGTTGAGACAAATAATAAAAAAATCGTCAATGACAAACTATATATATAAATGATTTCAAGTATATAGAAAAATGAATAAGAATCAATGTAACTGTCTGAATATTGAGCTTCAATGAATGTTATAATCTATCTATATAACGACCTGAAACAGTGTGTTCGGTTTTTTTAGAATCCTTAAATCTGATTTTTTTTTTATTGGAAAAACAAATTTCCTCGAGTCGGTTTTCAATTGCAAAGCGATCAACGGCGGTGGAAACGGCGGCGCAAACAGTGTCGATAGAAGAATCGGGACAGACCTTTGGTTGTAAGGTATTCGGTAACGAGGGGATTGTCAAATGTTTCAGATTCAACACGCAAAGCCTGGATTTTGTCGAATTCACACACAGTTGCGTCCAATCGGCCAGTGTTTGTAGGTTCATCGGTCTTGAAGTAAATCTTCAACCGCTCAGCATCAGCCAATTTACGCCGTTCCATGTCGAGTTCATCAAGGCCGAATTCATTGAATTTTCGGGAGTTGTTGCGTATGTAGATCTTCTTCAATTGTTGCACCTGACCGGCTAACATCATCATCACCTTATGATATTTGGCAAATGCTGAAACGCTCACCGCTCGTTAAATGAAGATTTCTTCCGATTTTGGTATGTTGGTCAACCACATCATTTTGCCTTTGGGCTGAAGATTTAGCTGAATCATTTTCAAATGTTCACACTTCTCAATTACCTTGATCAGTTCTTCATCGACGAAAGCGTCTTCAAAGTACAATCCTTCGATGTATGGAGCGATTGAGGTCAGTAGATTCAAATTTCGACCAAGCGATGCCCGAACCGAGTCAGAAAACTTGAGATGCAGTTTTAGCTGTCTGCCGACTTGTTGTTGACAAAGCAGGCGTAAGTCAGCAAGTGAATTCCAAACATCATTGGGCATATCGAAGAATAATTCATCGATGCGCATACCTTCGTTCACCAGGTCATTGATTGTCTGCGGTGATTTCGACAACAATGAAAACGTTTGAATATTCAGATTGACTTGCAAGAATCGTTTGTCCTTATTAACGGGCACTTCCTTGTTCAAATGCCATGCAAAATGCTCCAACTTTGGGTATGCCTGTTCCATCCAATCAACTTTTTCATCATTCAACGGCTCATCAAATGCCTTCCACAGCGTCAAACGTTTCATGTTCGGCAAAAATTTTAGCATGTTTTAGTTCAGGTCACCGACCACTTTTGAGTTTGAAAATGTTACCGCTTCGACGCCTTGTACGCTATCAGCCAACACTAGACCATGAAACTTACGTAAACCTCCACGCCAATTCTCGAAACGCAAAGATGTAATCGGTGTCGAGATTGGACCGTCATCGCTGCTTTGCTCTTCTTGGCCGTTTTCATCCTCATCACCGCTATCGCCTTCATCTTGTGCCTTTGATTTTGCTTTATAGAATGCCTTCAGTCCCGCTAGTCCAGCTTTTGATGCAACATTTTGGCTGAGTGACATGTTTTGAATGAACTCTGCAAAGCAATTTGTGTACTTTTCATCCGGTCCAAGAGCCATATTGCCATCATCTGCTATATCCTCAATGATCAGAACCTTTGACTTGTATCGGCGTCGGTAAACGTTTTTGCTCAATGCTTGAAATCGCTTGCACGTTTGGCTAACCGAGCAGAGATCATTCAGCGGCAACATTTCGAAAATGGCCAGGCAGCAGTCATCGTCCAGTGACAGCAAAGATGGCTCATGCAATGACGGCGAAGGTTTTGGTGATTTTCGCTTCAATTCATCGTTGTTCACATCAACTGTATCAGCTGCGTCATTTTGAACCTCCTGGTCTTGTGCTGATTCAAGTTTCAATCGTTTCGCTTTTGGTTGGGCCATTTTTGATTTGACGTCGCAATTTCACCACGATGCGTAAGGAATTAAACTGAAGTGAATTTGGAAGAAAAACACAAATTTAATTGAATTATTCTTCGATATTTATACAAAAAATGATAAAATAAATTATATAATCGCGATAGAAATAGAAAAAAGACGATTTAATTATGGGCAAAACTTACTTTTATCCAAAAACAACCAGCGATAATTTGTTGCTCTGTTCAATGCAACCAGCACACATGGAATAACACAGAACGAATGACATCTTAAAAATCGGTAGCGAACATGTCGGTGCGTGCATTCGCCCCTATACCAAGTGAAGCATTGATCTAACACATACACACAGATGCTGTGTGTATAGCATCGTATTTACCGTTGCATGGAACACAACGAACTGAGTGCTGATTGTCCATGAATTTTTTTCACAGAACGTTTCGTTGCTCGTTGAACAACATGAAAACAATCACCGGCTCTCACAAAGTCAATGCATTTCGATTGTGGTTAACTGTTAACGTTCATACTGCAGCAACAACAGATTTGCTTCTGTGGTTTTGCGATGCGAATTTTTTGTGTACAAATTCCAATAGCTTGACACTCTCTGATCTGAGCCAAATGAAACTATTTAGATCTTCTTTTTGCCGTTATTGCAAATATAATTGCAATTCTGTCGTTAGCAATTCGTTTGAAAGAAATTCACTCAATGCTAAGTAAAATTGATAAAATGCTGAATTGTATCTCTGGGACCATCGAAAATCACCTGTTGTTCAGTAGAGTTTTGAAAAGTAACTTACCCACTCTGTTTGCTACGTACAATAAAAAAACCTGAAAATTAAATTTTCACTTCAACTCCATTGTTTCTCCCCATGAAAATAATTGGAAAATAATTTTTTTTTTCATTTTTTCTTTAGAAATGCTTCATCGATATTTATTACGAATCGAATTCATTTCGATAAAGTTATAGCATTCAAATATATATAAAATCCTATGGATATTCACATCACATTACGTTCTTTTGCTTGATTTTGATGAATTTCCAATGATAAATTACACCAATAAGAAAAACATTGATCACTCAAAATGTTGAGACAAATAATAATAAAATCGTCAATAACAAACAATATACAAATAACAATATATAAATGATTTAAAGTATGCGGAGGCAGTGTCGGTAGAAAAATCGGGGTAGACCTTTTGTCGTGAGGTATTTTGTCACGAGTGGATTGTCAAATGTTTCAGATTCAACACGCAAAGCCTCGATTTTGTCGAATTCACACACGGTTGCGTCCAATCGGCCAGTGTTTATAGTTTCTTCGCTCTTGAAGTAGATCTTCAACCGCTTAGTATCAGTCAATTTACGCCGTTCACTATTGAGTTCATCAAGGCCGAATTCATTGAATTTTCGGGAGTTGTTGCGTATGTAGATCTTCTTCAGTTGTTGCACCTGACCGGCTAACATCATCATCACTTTATGATATTTTCCAAATGTTGAAAGATTCACCGCCCAATAAATAAAGATTTCTTGCAATTTTGGTATGTTGGTCAACCACATCATTTTGCCTTTGGGCTGAAGATTAAGCTGAATCATTTTCAAATGTTCACACTTCTCAATTACCTTGACCAGTTTTTCATCGACGAAAGCCTCTTCAAAGTACAATCCTTCGATGTATGGAGCGATTGCGGTCAGCAGATTCAAATTTTGATTAAGCGATGCCCGAACCGAGTCAGAAAACTTGAGATGCAATTTTAGCTGTCTGCCGACTTGTTGTTGACAAAACAAGCGTAAGTCGGCAAGTGCATTCCAAAGGTCGCTGGGTATGTCAAAGAATAATTCATCGATGCGCATTCCTTCGTTCACCAGTTCATTGATTGTTCGCGGTGATTTCGACAACAATGAAAACGTTTTAATGCTCGGATTGACTTGCAAGAATCGTTTGACCTTATTAACGGGCACTTCCCTGTACAAATGCCATGCAAAATGCTCCAACTTCGGGTATGTTTGCTCCATCCAATTGACTCTTTCATCATCCCTCGGCTCATTCAATGTTTTCCACAGCGTCAAACGTTTCATGTTCGGCAAAAATTGTAGCATGTTTTCATTCAAGTCACCGGAAATTTTCGTGCTCGAAAATGTTACCGCTTCGACGCCTTGTACGATATCAGCCAACACTGGGCCATGAGACTTACGTAAACCTCCACGCCAATTCTCGAAACGCAAAGATGTAATCGGTGTCGAGATTGGACCGTCATCTTTTTTTGCACTCTCATCACTGCTTTGCTCTTCTTGGCTGTTTTCGTTCTCATCGCCGCTGTCGTATTCATCTTTTGCTTTTGCCTTATAGAATGCTTTCAATCTCGCTAGTCCAGCTTTTGATGCGACATTTTGGCTGAGTGACACGTTTTGAATGAACTCTGCAAAGCAATTTGTGTACTTTTCATCCGGTCCAAGAGCCATATTGCCATCATCTGCTATATCCTCAATGATCAGAACCTTTGACTTGTATCGGCGTCGATAAACGTCTTTGCCCAATGCTTGAAATCGCTTGCACGTTTTGCTAACCGAGCAGAGATCATTCAGCGGCAACATTTCGAAAATGTGCAGACAGCACTCAGTGTATAGTGACAGTAAAGACGGCTTATCCAATGACGGCGAGGATTTTGGCGATTTGCCCTTCAATTCATCGTTGTTCTCATCAATTGCATTATTTTGAACCTCCTGGTCTTGTGTTGGTCCAAGTTTCAATCGTTTCGCTTTTGGCTGGATCATCTTTTGCTTGACGTCACAATTTCACAATGATGAGTAAGCAATCAAACTGGAGTGAATTTGGAAGAAAAACACAGATTCAAATGAATTATTCTTCGAAATGTACATAACAAATGATAAAATAGATGAAATAAACACGATATAAATATAAAAACCAAGCAAAAATCAAGATAATTCTATCTAAATTATGAACATAACTCACTTTTGACCAAAACAACCATAAATCGTCTGTTGACAACATCTGTTCAATGCAACCAGCACACACGAAATAACGCAGAATGAATGAAGCTTCACTTATAATATGTTTACTACTTACTGTCATCAGCTCTGTGTAGAGCTCATAATACGAACAAAAGCTAGCCACTGTACGTGAATACTCGTGTAGTATACCATTCATTTTTGTTGTGATGGTTTCTGTACTGAATGGATGACAGTACATGTGCGTGTGTTAGTATATCATTTTGTAATAGCCGCTTGAACATTTGAAACGCTGAACACGGTTGAAAACAAATTCGAATATTTGAACTTTTGAAAAATGTCGTTTAAGTGATAATGTTTTGACGCATGGTTTTTTCTTCAAATATTCGTCAAATTAAATCTGAATCCAATTGGATTATTTAAAAAATCTAAATGGATAAAATTTTAATCCCATTTGAATAACAGCGTGTGTCTGCATAGTGACGATGTATTTTCAGTTGAATGGCACGCTCAGTTGAAGCAATACAACAAAATCTCTTTGGTTTTCAGAAAAGAAAGAAGCAGCTTTCTTTTAATAAGAAGAAATACTTTGTAATATTTTCAATAATTCGCAATCAACTTATTTCAGTCGAATCATGAAGCATTTTCGTTTATTTTTTATCCTATAATTATTTGAAATACACAAAATGAACAGAGCAGACAGCGAAGATAATTGCTCAAAACACAAATTAATTTTGTGTGGTTCGGATAATATGGAAATATAATTTTGAAATAAGCGCATTTTTGAATGCACAAAAGGAGAAAAATCCAGATTTTACACCCACACCAAAATTATGTGGAACTCTTTTACTTCGGCTTATCACAACAAGATTAAAATTCCATGAAATAAAATAAAAGTACTGTCGTCTATAAACGTGCTCTGTTTTCATTTCATAAAAATGACTATATTTACATCAACTTATCAACTCGATCTGACCTGAGATTGATTTTTTTTAACCCATTCACTATACTGATCGATCGAATTTTCATTAAATATGTTCGGTTTTTCAGTCACCTTGTAGAAAATGGGTTAAGTAAAGTTAATTGTGATTTGAATTGATGATCGAGAGTTCACTCCGCAAAAGATTTAATTAAAAACAGCTTTCTTACAGTCTTGAATTATCAATGTGTCCAAAACGCATAAATACGGCATCGCATAAGGCAGTTATCGCACGCTCACTTGCGTTCGCTTCATTATATGTGTAAAGCAATTCGAATGTGCGTCGTAAGACGACGGCTTTTGAAATATCGTATGCTGCGGCAACGTAAGCAGAAAATTATCGCGCGATAATTATGCGATGCGGTATTATAGAGTTATTTCACAAAATTGAAAAAAAATGGTTCAAAACACTGCCGTCTTAGCCTGGAAGCGAATGAAGCAGCCGCTTCAGGGCCCCGCGATTTCAGGGTCCCCGAGCTGCTGAAAAGGCCCTCGAAATATTAAGAGAGATTCTTATCAAAGAAAATTAGAAAAAATACAAAAATTCTCAAATTTATTTCAATCTTCGTGGTTTCACATTCAACCACTGAGCAGAAACGATTGAATGTCAAATAAGAATGAGTAATCAAAGAATTTCAACTGCAAGACGTAAAAAGTCATATACATATGGAACTAAATACAACATATTATGCAAAATATCGGCAAATTGCCGCTGTTGTCATAAAGCTGCTTTTTTCCACAGCGGATATGACAATAGCGGCAATTGAGATGACCAACAATATTAGCAGTAAACTGTTTCGAATCATTTTGAAGTAAACAGTGGGAATATTGACAGTTAATACAATGATTCTAGCAATGTTTAGATTTGACACTTAACTTTGTTTTAGTACCATTTGCTCTAGAAAAAGTTCAAAAGTTCTATAATAAATACATGAAGCTTTGATTTTTGATTTAGAACATTTTGAACTTTTTCTAGTACAAATGGTACTCAAATGGATTTTAGTGCCAAATTTCATATTGCGGTTCTAAAAGTTAGAACCATCGTGTTTACTGTATTTACCTTCCAGTGTGCGGTGTAAATAATCAAACTTACGACAACGAATGTATGCTCAAGTGTGATGGTATTGAACTCAAATATCGTGGGAAATGCTCTGAAACTGCTTGATAGCTACGGAAATTTCTAAATGGTCGAAAGTACAAGGAATAAAATTATGATGGAATCAAATGTGGAGTAATAAAGTTCAAGTCACATTTTGCATTTTAACTTCATTTTATCGTGTTTTCTTCTTATTATTATTTTCATGAAAAATTACGGTTGCATGAATTAAAGCAAGCCGCTGCCAAAATATTCATCCAATTAGGAAGATCTTCGATAGATTTATTCACTTGTGCCAATCCGTTTTGAATATACTGTGAGTTATGACATCTGATTGGAATGATTATGAAATTTTGATTATTATGGTTTGAATAAACTTGTTTTTTTGTGGAGTTTTTCACAAAAATAGTATGAACATTTCAGGTCTTCCCACGATTGGTAAGATCCCTTGGAAAAAATTTTATTTGAAATTAAATACAAAATGTTCAAATTCTTCTGGTTCAAGTATGTTCCATTTATTTCAAAGCCGACATAATTGAATATACTACAGGTGGAATTAGCGCCTTGATTGCAACTCTATATTGGGTCTATATTAGATCAGTCGTCATGTTCAGAGGAAATATAATATAACTTGCATTCTCCTTGGATACACTTATCATCTCTATCGCAATCATCGTCAGTTTTACAGGAAAATGCTTGCACTGCAAAAATAAGAGATAACCACAAAAAAAATTCAATTTACAGCAACGAATACTCCACTAAAATTAACTATAACCAGAGATGGTTCATGGTTTACCACAAGTGTATGGAAATGTGTATCGGTATATACTAAAACGTATACCTTTGCGTTGAGAGTACGCATCAGCACGCGTTAGCTAATACTTTAGTGACAGCGAACGCGTTATTTAACGCAAAGGTATATCAATGTATAATATACTGGTCTGCAGCCTATTTCACCAAATGTTTTCATGAGATTTTCTTCTCAAGTTTTTTTGGTGAAACAAATGTATCTAAATGTAGCAATGAGAAAATCTCAATAGAAACGTGAAAATATTCT